TATAAAAGTAAAAGTGCTATTGCAATCTTTAGATTTGTCCTGACAAAATGACTCCGTAAGAATCTTTTAAGATTAGTTTGGAAATATAATTTAGAACTGTTTACCCATAAAACAGTAAAGTTAAATTTGTTACGTGGTCTATAGACAAGCGAACTGATTTGATCTAAAAATGGTAAGGAAATGAAATTAAAGATGAGATTTAGCGATTGAATTTGATGAAGATGACAAGCCTGGCTCCGAGCGCAATGTCTCTGAGGACAAAAGTGAAAGCAATGATAAGAACGAGTAAAGTTATTTAATTAAGAGCAAAAGTGAAATATAGCATATGTTTGACAAGAATTTCGTGTGTTACAATGGTTGTTGAGCCTACTTTTTATAGCTTTACCTAGGGAAACAAGATCCTAGGATCAAGCCCCTCTTTAATGATAATAATAGAGTTATTGAAGAATATATAACGGCAAGCCATGAACTCAAATATTCTCTGTAATGGTTGCTCATTTAATGTCCATGAATGCAAATATTCCCTCATTGAATGCTATCCAATGGCAAATACTCGATTTGCTCCCTTTGACCATGCTCCCTTTGGGATTCACCTGATGCCGATTGCAGTTGTTGTATCCAGTACTAATTGTTACTTGACTCGCCTTTTGTCTGCTTTTGGTTCCATGTGTCATGCTATCATTTGATCATTATAATAAACCAATTTTACCCCGTAGAGATAGTCCCCCTACTTTTCGGTGACATATCTTTGTGTTGTGGCAAAGTTGGTGAAGATTTCTTTCTTGGCGAAAAAGTTCCTGAACAGTCTCTCACGCTTTAAAGGATGCACGTCTCTTCTCATTTAATACCCCAAACACGTGTTGCCACATGATTCAGCAAATATTTTCTCCGATTTTTGAGATAATCATGACCACGATTTTTACCGTCTATAACTTCACTTCTATTCATTATATTACTTCTTTTACTTCCAAAAATTTTCGTAAGTCTTTCTTCTTCTCTGCACTCATCTGGTTAGAAAATTTTCCATCTTCTCTGACTTTCTTAGCAAAAGTTTTACTAACCCTACGTTACCATGGATTCTTTTACTGCACTCTGTGGAAACTCTGGCCTTCTCTTCAGTGGAGGCCCAAAGAAAAACTAGGACGTTGATGTCGATTCTGAACCTCCCTCTGTAAACACCATCATACCAAAACACCTAAATAATGCTAACGACTTCCAAGAGAAGGCCACTTATGTGTCTTCAAGGACTTGAGTTGTTAGTAGGTAACCCTCCTCCATTCGCCCTTTTAGTATCCCTATTGTGAAGGAGGACTGCAACTGCCCTAATCTTGACATCCTTGCTTCGGATATGATAGAGAGGGTTACCTTCACCAAAGAGGGTTTTACGTATGTCTATACGTATTCTTTTACCTTGGGTCCATTCTCCGTAGGGTCGAATGAAGGGCTCAACCCTGCAATTTTGGAGTTTTACCACCGGTACCTGGTTTGCTTAACACAAGTAGGCCCATCTATATGGAGAACGGTGGCTTGCCTTCGCCAATTGTGCACGGATATCGGAAAAACCCTAACCCTTGCACACATGATGAATCTTTACTCTCCTAAAAATTTTCGTAGGGGAGTAACAAACTTTAGCAAACGTGGCCACCACGCTCTTCACACCAGTGTTGCTGATGACAATGATCGCGGGTGGATGGAGTGATTCGTCATCATCACTAAGAGGGACATCATCTCGGCCACAGCTCCGCTTTTTCCTGAATCGAGGAATCGCTTTCGTAAGTTTACGATTTATTAATTTCCTTCCTTCGTGAAAAGCTTATTTTCTGTTGTTGCTGATCTTTTTGTTTCTTTTGTTCTAGCTACCCGATGGGAACCATCACGAGTTCAAGGCCTGGACTAGTGGTTTCAGAAAATTTTGGAAATCACAATGCCAGAATCCCATCGGTGGAAGGAAATAGCCCTCTAATATGGGTGGAAGGCCAAAAATCATGGTAAATCGAGTCCTTCTTCCTTTTATATTTGTACGAACATAGGTAACTTTATGAAAAAGTTACTAACTCCATTTTTTTTACTTGATTCAGGACTTCCGCAGGGCTCTGTCACCTGCCCCGAGGTCGACATTTTAGCTGATCCCGAAGAGTCCAGGAGGGTGCCGCAAAGTGCCCCTACTCGAAGCAATGCTCATGGATTTGCTTCCGGTGAAGGTGCCTCTCGGAGTCCCCGGCCCGAGAACAAGCAACCAAAAAGGCGACGTTCTTCCTCGGCTGGGACTCAAAATATGAAAATAAAGAAAACAACAACCGAGCCAGCCACAGTGGTTGTTGTGGATGACGGGGAAGCCAGTGATGAAGTGGATCCCCTTCAAAGGAGAAAATCATCTTCATCAGCTCAACCAGATGCTCAGCCGGGAGAGCTTCAAAACCAACCGCAGAAGAGATCAAGCACTTTAGAGCGAGATGGAACGGGTGGATAATGCTGAATCTCGCTTTCCAGCCCCCATTTTTGTCTCTAGTCCAAGGAGTTCGGACCCTGGGCCTCTTCTGCCTTCGTCCACTGAGCAAACAATAATAAGCACTTCTCCTGCCGCAACTGCTTCTCATCCTTCCATACCAACAACTTCACGCCCATCAACACCAGCTTCTCCTTCGCCACCATAACCAACCGCATATCCTCCACTGTTAACAGAAGAATGAGAAAGGGGTGCCTCTCCTCCTCGGTCTCCCGACCACAGGAATTTGGGGCATAATTATTCAACCCCTTCCCCAGATCCTCGAGGGAGGAGAAGTGCCACTCTTTTGATTTCCAAAGAGTGCCATCTTTTGTCCAAGCCGGTGGAGCTTACAAATTATCTGAAGCCATTGGCTTCAGAGAAAGATCAGAAGAAATGCACTCCCTTTCCGGGGAGTACCTGATAAACAACACCATGTATAGCGCAGTGTAGGTACCGAACTAGTTTACTCATATCTTCTTTTATATTCTCTTGTTGTAATGGAAATACTAACCTTGATTTTCTTTTTTTCAGGCCTACTTTCTTGCTTCCGAAGGCCTACAAAGGTTGATTCTTGACAAGCAAGGACTTGCTTCCGAGCGGGATCAACTTTTGGTCGAGAGGAACCAACTTGCTGCGTGCCTCCGGTGTTGGAGGCAAAAGATACAGAGTCGGGTGAGCTTGAAGCACGGTTGCAGTAAAGTGAACAAGATAAGATGGCCCACAACCAAGAAGCCACTCAATTTCATGAACAACTTCAAGAGGCTAAGGCTAAGTGGGCCGAGCTCCACGATGCTGTGCTTACCGCTGCTGAGCGCGAGTCCACTTTCGAGTAACAAATGAATAATTTAACGGCAGCCTTAAGCTCCAAAACCGAGGAGGCCACTGCTGCTGAGGAGAAGAGGGCCCGAATGGAGGAGAGGATAAAGAGGTCGATGGACCAAAACAAGCTTCTTTTGGCTATGAATGTTGAGCTCGATGCTCGTCACAGTGCCCTGAGATCTTGAAGGGATGGCCTCCAGGCCAAAATTGAAAAACTTCAAGCAGATCTCAGGACCAAGAGGTTTCCCTCGTATTTGAGAATACTTATGTAATATATAGTATGAGGAGGAAGACCTTTGAAGAGTCCAAAGTGGGTATCGCTAATATAGATGATTGCATTGACCAGGCCCGAGAACTGGAGCTGCCTGCTCGAGAACGCCTTCCCGCTCAACCGATGCAGCTGATTCCTCTAGTACAGGTTCTGAGTATTCGGGGACCGAAGGGAAGATTGAGGAAGAAAATGATGAAGTCCAAGAACCGGCAGCGGATCCTCCCTCCTCCATCGGGAGAAACGCAGATCCCTCTCTCCCTTCAGGCTCCGGCGGCAATGATACATAGTTTCTTCTCTCCTTTTTTTGTACTAAAAAATTATGCCAAACTTTTCATCAAGTTTGGAACTTCGACAAATAAAGACTTCTTTGCTTAAGTGTTGTGCAAAATAGATTCCTTTCGCGTTGAATTGGTTAAAGCTTTGGGTATGTTTTCATCCGATAGCTTTTGATTCCGGGTATAAGCTCTTCCGAAACTAACCCTTTACTATGAGAGTTTCAAAAGAGAGGGCCTTCTTATATTTATGGTGCTCTTGAAGAGGACGTCTCATGTTTATTCCGTCAAAAGCATTTGAATTTTTTGTTAACTTTCAAATGATAAAATCAACTCATCATTTGGACAAGAAACAAGATAAAAATAAAAGTACTTTATTTTATTCCTTCTATCTTTAAAAGTACACAAGCATTCATTAGCTAAAGTAAAAAACTTCCAATACATGTGGCTAACTTGTATAGCATATTTCGCGGGGGTGATCATACAGTCCTTGGTTCTATGAGACATTATTGTTCCCGATTCTAGAAATACCGGATTTTGTGGCATTCTTGTTGCCACACCTATACTATTACCCCCAGTGTTTGAATGCAAAATATGCGAATTTGAACACTGGAAGTCTTGCTTCATCGGTGGAAACAACTTGTGAATGGTCAAATAATCTTTGGTTTGATGGCAAACTTTGCTTTTCATTAGCGGTTTACCATTGAGCCAAAGATTATTTAACCATCCCATGGCGGTTTATCATTGATATGAAGATTTCAATTCCTTGTCATTTAAAGGTCTTATCCTTGCCGATGACGCTCTTTTTGTAGTATGTTTTCCGTCGCTGCCTCGTTAAAAACCTTGCCAAAAAATCCGATTGAGACAACAACTAAGAGAAAAAGAGTGCAGCACATACTTTCAGTATTGATAGGATCCATTAACATTAATACCTTTTGAGGTGAGTCACGTTCCAATTACTGGGCAATTTGACTCCATCTTGATTTTCCAACACATACGATCCTTTACCGGTAACAGCTGAAACTTGGTAAGAACCTTCTCATGTTGGACCCATCTTCCCGGCGTTGACTTCCCGAGTGCTCTGAGTCATCTTTCTCTGAACTAAGTCTCTATTGGCCCTCCGATTATAATATCTTTCCATCCTTTGCTTCTAAGCCGCCATCCTCACGTACGCCAAGTCCCTGTGTTCGTCTAGCAAGTCCAACCTCACCAGCAATGCTTCATTACTTGCTTCTTCATTTGTTCGGGAAAACCTTAAAGTTGGTTCCTCTACTTCCACCGGTATCAGAGCTTCCGCTCCATATACGAGAGAGAAAGGTGTTTCTCCCGTGCTCAATTTCGCCGTTGTCTGGTATGCCCATAGTATGCCTGGTAGCTCTTCGGGCCATTTGTCTTTAGCAGCTTCTAGCTTCTTTTTAAGGTTCTGGATAATCACCGTATTTGTTGATTCCGCTTGCCCATAAGCACTTGGATGGTACACTGAAGATGTAATCCTTTTGATTTTCAAATCTTCCAAAAACTTTCTGACTTTTGAGCCTATGAACTGCTTTTCCCGTTGTCACAAGCAATTTCCTTTGGTATTCTGAATCGGCAGATTATGTAGTACCATAGGAAGTCCATCACTTCGCATTCATCAATCTTTTGGTAAGGACCTGATTCAACACATATAGTGAAGTTGTCAGTTAAAGCTAAAAGAAATCTTATCTTGCCAGGACCCAATGGTAGAGGATCAACTGTTCATCCCCCATTTCATGAATGGCCAAGGGGGAAACACCAAATGCAAGAGTTCCGCCGGTTGGTGTACCAATTATGCATATCGTTGACACTTATCACACTTCTGAACAAATGTCCGTGTCCTGTTCCATCCGAGGCCAATAGTAACCTGCCCTAACCAACTTTAGAACTAACGAATCTGCACCGGAATGGTTCCCACAAATTCCTTCATGGACTTCTCTCTTCACGTAGTCCGCCTCCGAGGCTCCCAGATATCGGTCCAATGGTCCTTGGTATGAACTTCTATATAATTGCCCATCTATGAGGTAGTAACGAGCTGCTTTGGTTTGTAATTCCCGGGATGCCTTCGGGTCTTCGGGTAACTTGTCATGCCTAAGGTACTCGACGAAATTGTTCCTTTTGTCCCAGACTAAGCTGGTTGAATTGACCTCGCAGTAAACATCCACATCCAATATCGAGTGCAGAAGGTGAACGGCAATATCGGAGTCAGATCCTTTCATCTCCATAGATTACCCCAAATTGGCCAATGCATCTACTTCTATATTTTCTTCCCTCGGGATATGTATAATTGACCATTCCGTGAATCGTGTAAGCAATGCATGAACCTTGTTCACATGCCGTTTCATGCGTTCTTCCTTTGTGGCAAAAATCACGTACACTTGGTTTACTACCATCTGGGAATAACATTTTATCTCGATGACCTCGGAGCCAAGTCCCCAGGGCAATTCAAGTCCTGCAACCAAAGCCTCATACTCGGCTTTATTATTAGTTAATGGAACAGTCTTAATGGCATGCCTCAGGGTTTCTCCCGAGGGCGTGACTAGAACTACCCATAGATAGGACCCTTTTACATTAGAAGATCCATCCGTAAACAAGGTCCAAACTCCTTATGTCGTTTCTAACACCAACACTGCTGTCACACCTCCTTTTTCACACACCCGAAGGTATATAAGGGAGTTTTTCCAGTGTAAGTGACATTATTCGAAATGGGACTATTTAATTTATTTCAGAGTCGCCACTTGGGATATTTATTATGGTGTCCCAAGTCACCGATTTATTTTAAGTCCCAAATCGAGGAAATTCGACTTTCCTTTTGAAGTCTGCGAACCAGAAATTCTAAGTAAGGAATTCTGTTAACCCGGGAGAAGGTCTTAGGCATTTCCGGGTTCCGTGGTTCTAGCACGGTCGCTTAAACTATTATAATTGGCCTATTATCTGATTTTAATACATGTTTTAACCTATGGTTCAATTTACTTATTAACCGCTTGTAATAATTATTGTTACATATTGCAAATCATTTCACGGGAGCCGTACCCACGATCTGCAATATGTTTAATTTTTAAAGATTAAACTGTGGCCAGGTCACATAAATATACCCCCGGATTTTAGTAATTAGGGGTCACGAACTACGTCACGGAAATCGTACCCGTAGCTATGACAATTAATTAATTCACGCGCCTAAAGCAAACTACGAAAGGCCAAGGCATTTCTAAACTAATTTTTGTATTTATATGAGGGTCATGGGTTATCTAAATTTACTTATGGCACACCTCGAATCTAATTTTTTAAGGGGTTAATTAATTAAGGAAGGCCGAAAGGTATTTGAAATTATTTTTAGGCTAATGCTCGAATTGAAATTAATTATTAAAAGACTGGTGTTGAAGGAAAATCGGGCATTTGGTTGTGTGAGAGTCCCAAACTGTCCACAGACCCAATTGCCTTTTGCAAGCCTTACATGTCGAAACACCAAAGGGGAACCAGACTTAAGCAAAGCCCATAACCCACGATTGAGTGTCAAAAGAGCACCGGGCCAACGCTAAAGGCCCAGTAGCGTGATACAACATGGTCAATTAAGCAAAATTGTTGTTCTTCTTGAGAACTGCAAAATCAGAACAACTATTGTCAAACTTTTACAATTTTAGACCAATGCAAAACGTGTTCCTGATACTCAGTCGCATTCTATGATAAAATGCATTACTTAATGTCATAATAACTCATACACAATTGTCTCACCATTTAAATCTAATAGAATTCATGAATTCAAACCAACAAACTAAACATGGTTCCAAATAAAGAATACACCTATTAGTATAAGCTCAACTCTGCCCCATTCCAAACACTAAGTTCCATTCCAAATGACCTTAAACAAATGGTTAATTGCCAGATGCATACATTCTACTACCCATATCAACGTTTGATTTCTAATATGATAAATTTGAACAATATTTACGAAGTAACATGAAATCTTCCCCAAAATACACACAACATGGGCCTGAACTCATCTTTCACAACAACAAACCAAACATCAAAACCATTACAAAGGTTCAGATCCTTGTTTCAAAGAATAATAAATACTGAACTGATTGTACTACAACTTTAAATAAGACTGTTATGCAAACTTTCTATTCTCAACATGGATTTTGAACATGCACTACAGAACAGATCCATTCGCCACAAGAACACATCACAATAAACTTGAAACATGATAAGATGGACAAGGAGAATGGAATCAGAAATGAATAGCCTAAAGGAGATGTGAAAATAAGGCCCTAAAACAACATGATTCTTATTGATTCCAACAGGAGAACATATCTTTCATGCAACAACATATTCAGACTTCATTTCCACTCATGGTTCAAAAGAGTACCTGGAAATTGGAAGAGAAAGAAGGAGAATGAAAAAGTTAGCAACAGCAGCAGCAGAATCAGCTCAGTAAAAAACAAGCAGTACTCAGCCTCTTTAAACTATTTTTAAATCCAGAATGACCAGATATTCTTGAAAGATTTCAAACTTATGAAGATAACAGCAAACCCAAGCTAATTTCTACCAAGAAATGCAAAGGATTTGCAGTATTTTTGACTCAGCCGTTTTTCTTAGCTTTTTAGTATTGTATTTTCTAACATCTATCTTGAGAGTGAAGCAACAAACCCTTTTTATAAAGAAGTTTCAGGGCAGCAGAAATAAATTCAGTTTTTGCCCTTTACTCCTTTTTGAATTTTCGTTTTTGCTATCATGTCCTCAATTTTAAAATCAGTTTTTCAATACAGTCCCAAACCCACCTTCTAGGCAGCTTCCTAAATCAGTTACACAAGATTCCCTTACCCAAACTTCCCAGACTACCCTCTAAAACCTTGTTATTTACCCCCAGCAAACCAAATGGGTCAAGCCTGACCCAAGGCCCCAAACCAAAAATGGGTGGGCTTTCCTTGAGACTGGGTCAGAATTGAACACCAAAACCCAAACCAAATTATTTTAGTGATCCATGAAAAGTAGAAGAGGAAACGACTTGAATGATTTCAAAACCGAAAACTTGTCTAAATGACTAAATCTTAAACTAACACAAACGAGCTATAATTAAACTAGCCACAAAATCTAATTAAGCTGAATATAAGACTAACACAAAATCAGAAGCTTATCATGACTAGAATAAAAACTAAACAGGCGAATGAATAATCCAAGTAAAACTCAACGAACAGCCTTTTTTAAAAATTGTAAAAGAACTGGGAAACACACGGGACAAATGTAAACACAGAACAAACAAAAGGAAAACCTAGGTTCAGAATTTGTACCTTTACTAATTTCGAATTAGAGGAAGACTATTTAGAGAAAAGGAGAAGAAAAGAAAGGGAATAGAAGGTGAAATGCATAAACGGATAGAAAAAATGAATGAAAACTTACCCAGTTAAAGCTTGAAACAACACTGGACTCTCCGATTTAACCAAAATCAATGCTAATCGCTTGTTCTTTGTGAAGAACAAGAAAATATCATTAATTTTGTGTTAAATCAGGCTTTGCAACTCGAAAGTGTGGAGGTCTGGGTCTTGCATGCCACAAATCCGAGGGAAGTTGATTTTGGGGTTTTAGGGCTCCTACCTTAGATTTGAAATTCGAACAGATGTAGAGGGATTCGAGGGACGCTAGTTAGGGATTGGGAAAGAGGAGGCCATGGGGGTTTTGTGGTGTTAATTTGGGGCGCCGGCCGGCGAGGTTTAGCGTTTAGGGGCGTCTAGGGTTAGGGGTCTTTAAAGAGGCGGTGATGAATGAAGAGAGATGGAACTGGGGGGAGAACAATTCGGACAGTTTTATGCATTCAATTGAACCAGTTCCGGACCGTTCGATCAAAGGAGATCGACGGCTTAGATTGAAGGATAGAAAACAGAGTCGTTTAGTTAGACAGAGTATTTGGACCGGGTTGGGACATGATTTGGGCCTATTTTGAGCGGGTTTCAGGAGAAAAAACGTTTGGGCTTGGGGGAAAATTAATTGAAATGGCCCAAAATCCAAACTTCTCATTTCCTTTTTCTTTTTCTTTCAATTTCAAAATTCTTTTTTTTCTTTTCAAATTAAAAATAAAAACCTAAATTAATTCCTAAACCGAATTATCCGAACAAATTAGGTTAATTACTCAATATAGTGTTTACAACAACTAATTAATTACCAAATTACAAGTAAACTACAAAATTTAAAGCTAAAAGTCAAAATGCAAAAAATGAGTTATTTTTGTGATTTTTTTCTATTTTTGTACAACAACCAATTTACTAATTAATCTAAAAATGTAAAAATAAACACTAAATGCAAGTGCAATATATTTTTGTATTTTTTATGAATTAAATAAAAATTAAATATGCACAGAAAAACGCAAACAATTAGCAAAATTCTACAATAATTCCTAAAATAACGAACAATTAAAAGAAAAATCTAATTCTTTAGAATTTTGTAGGAGTAATTCATGTGGGGCAAAAATCACGTGCTCACAGCTGCCCTTCTTTGCTCGGAGACTCGAAGAGTTTTCGGGCAAAGATAAAATGAGCAATTATGAGGGATTTTTGCCCGTTTGAAACTCCATGAGAAGCAGTTTTGAAAGAACCTGACCGAACCTTGCTTCAGAGGTTGCCTACATATCCTTGGCTATAAAGGAATCAGGTCACTGTAGTTCTGGAAGTTTCGGTAGCTGGGACTACCAGGAAGCTGTGATTTTACTGTTGCTACTACTGCTACTGCTTGCTGAACTCTTTAATACACCAAAAATGGAAAAATAAAAAGCTAAACTAGCAAAGCCTATCAACTACGAGTTACAAGATTCCTATCTATAAATCTTCTGAAGGTCGATCTTGAGTCTTGGCTGGTTCTTGCTGCAGACTCCGATCCGAATCTTGATGCTCATTAGCTGTAAACCGCTGGTTCATTCATCAGCTTTGGATCAAGGTGGGACACGCGAAGCCTGTGACTTCAATCATATTTTGAGCAATCCGCATCTTTATCCGCTTCAGCACTTTGAGTTCACTTCTTTTTACTCTTTTTCTTCTTTTTTGTATTCAGGATTGAGACTCATTCTTTTGGTCGTCTCGAACCCTGTGTCCCGAGGTCAAACCTGCTCAGACACCAAAACAAACAAACGAACGAAATTTTCTGCCCCAGTTTTCACTAGGAAAATCCTACACTATTTCTCTATTGAAAACAATAAAATAAGGATCATGTGTCTTTAGGAGAGAGAGATTAGGGAGTG